TGCAGACCCCTACAAACCCCTGCAGAACCTTGCAGACTCCTACAGACCGCTGCAGACCCCTTCAGACCCCAGCAGACCCCTACAAAACCCTCCAGGCCCCTGCTACACACCCCTACGGTTGCCTGCAGACACCTACAAACACCTATGAACCCCTGCAGATCCCTACAGACCCCTAAAGACCTCTACAGTCCTCTGAAGACCCCTATGGACCCCTGCATACCCCTTCAGACCCCTACAAACCCCTGCAGACCCCCACAGAACCCCTGCAGACCCTTAGAGACCCCTATGGACCCCTATGGACCCCAGCAGACTCCTAGAAGACCCCTTTGCAGGGGTGTACCCTGTTGGAGGGCAAGAACTTCACTGATTTTGGAAGTCGAGGGTCATTTATAATCATGTAATATTCACTACCACCCAGCCCAGAAAACCTTACAGACAGGCTGTAACATCTCTCCAGGGCTAAAGAAATTTTGGAGAAGTCTTAAAATTCGACAGATCCCTCTTATTCCCAAGAAGTCTGTTTCCATAGCTAATTATTTTTAGTCATTCCAAATGGAGCCCTCACTTGTATTCTGAGCTCAGCTTCTACTTCTAGCTAAATTTCGTTATGATTTTTTCCACTAGATTCAAGAGCCATCTGGTAGCATAAATCATTCCTTATGAAATCTCTTTACGCTACAGCAAAATTACTTCTAAGGTTGTCTTTCACAGATAAAATAAACCGAGCTTCTGTAGTGGACCTGCCACCTTGTCCCTGGTTATTGCACCACCTCGTGGGAAAAGAGATAAAACACAGAAGGAAAAAAAGGACGTGCAGGTCAATTTTTCAGCAAGTGTGATGTTGAGGCTAAAGAAGGGATTGATAATACACTAAACCTATGGTGAAAACAGTGAAAATACATGTATAAGGCTGAAACAGAATGTCAGGCAAACACAAAGGGAAAAGGAATCGCTCAGAAACACCTACTGAGATCACGAAGTAGATGCTGTATAGCTGACCCAAAGGGCCAAGAACAAAGTCTTCAAGGTTTTATTAATTTTTGCACACAAGGCATTCAGCAAGAAATATTCAGGCCCAGTATCTTCTAGTTTGGATGTCCCTCTACTATAACCTGTAGCAATCCTGCTATAGCTCTATTTTCCCACTCCCAAGTGACTGTCTCACTGCACCCTGCGTTACACAGCGATGTCTGGGCCAGATCAGACAATCCTGCCCCGCTGCAATAATGTCCGGCCGGGCAGGGCTGGCACTGCTCCTCTGCCTCCAGGCCCACCACCGTAGAGAAGGATCCAGGAGGACAGGGCACAGGATACCCAGTACCACTGGGGCAGAAATGCCCCGCAGGACAGATGTCATTACTAGGCAGATCAAGGCTGGAAGATTCCACCTGTATCAGGAAAATACAGAGAAGGAGAGAAAAAGTGTTATTGAAAGAAGATTTAGCACAATGTACTACAGAGGCAGGTTCTGGAAAGGACACATAAGAGCCGAGTCCTACAAGTTTGCTCCCACTGAAACTAAATTTTATTCCAACCACAGCTAGAATAAAAAAAGGTACTGGCTGCTGAGGCAGGCTACCTTATCCCTGATGCCATCTTTTGGAGGTGCAATCTACAGAAATGGAGGTCTGGCCAGAATTTATTAGTGATGTTGAGGCTAAAGAAGGGATTGATAATACACTAAACCTATGGTGAAAACAGTGAAAATACATGTATAAGGCTGAAACAGAATGTCAGGCAAACACAAAGGGAAAAGGAATCGCTCAGAAACACCTACTGAGATCACGAAGTAGATGCTGTATAGCTGACCCAAAGGGCCAAGAACAAAGTCTTCAAGGTTTTATTAATTTTTGCACACAAGGCATTCAGCAAGAAATATTCAGGCCCAGTATCTTCTAGTTTGGATGTCCCTCTACTATAACCTGTAGCAATCCTGCTATAGCTCTATTTTCCCACTCCCAAGTGACTGTCTCACTGCACCCTGCGTTACACAGCGATGTCTGGGCCAGATCAGACAATCCTGCCCCGCTGCAATAATGTCCGGCCGGGCAGGGCTGGCACTGCTCCTCTGCCTCCAGGCCCACCACCGTAGAGAAGGATCCAGGAGGACAGGGCACAGGATACCCAGTACCACTGGGGCAGAAATGCCCCGCAGGACAGATGTCATTACTAGGCAGATCAAGGCTGGAAGATTCCACCTGTATCAGGAAAATACAGAGAAGGAGAGAAAAAGTGTTATTGAAAGAAGATTTAGCACAATGTACTACAGAGGCAGGTTCTGGAAAGGACACATAAGAGCCGAGTCCTACAAGTTTGCTCCCACTGAAACTAAATTTTATTCCAACCACAGCTAGAATAAAAAAAGGTACTGGCTGCTGAGGCAGGCTACCTTATCCCTGATGCCATCTTTTGGAGGTGCAATCTACAGAAATGGAGGTCTGGCCAGAATTTATTAGTAGGCAGCAACATATTCCATCAGACATTAAGAGCAGCATGTCATCACATTTGAGGAGCTCTCTAGGGCAGCAGTAAAAGACATGAGCAGCCCCATACAGAGCAGTAATGCTGGGAAAACGTTACACCAGGAGCTACAAGGTTGTGAAGGTCCAGTCCTTGTTCCCAGGAGTCACTAGGAATGCCGTGCTGCCCCCTGGCACTCACTCATCCTGGGTTTGAAGGGAGCTGGGCTGATGGCTCCCTTGGCACAACGATAACCTGAATGGCAAAATCCAGAAGGCTGTGGCAGACCTGGTGCTGAGCAATACATGCCTAAAACGAACAGAAAAGCTATCTCAGTGTGAGGGCCTGCACAGAAGATCAGCAGAGGAGTCAATAAGATGAAGGAAGAAGTCATATTTTCCCCAACCTTCCCATGTATGTCCCCCTGGGTTTCTTGTGCCAAGCCCCCACTCACCTGCTGGGCAGGGCTCCCAGTCAGACTCACCAGTGGCACCAGTCCTGGGGCCAAAGGTACCCTTGGGACACAGATGCTCTGTACTGAAGTTGGTACCTGGCAGACAGAAGTACCCAGCAGGACACAGCTCACGAGTACGTGCTCCAGAACCTAGGATACAAAGAACTGCATCTTGCGTAGGAGATATTATGAGAGGTGACAGGCAATGCCATTCTCTGTCAACACAGGCACTCCTCCTCCCCTGTGACTTCATCTACATGCAGGACACTGGATTCATCCCGAGTACTCATTTAGTTGTTCAGATTCCCAATGCAGTAATTGGAAAGAAACAGCACTTCCAGAGGAAATGCACTTCAAATGCAATTCATCTCATCCGAAAGCAGACATCTAAAATGAAAAAGATAAATTGCACCTCAGAAGTGCCTCTTTCTCTCCACTGACTACAGAGTGAGCAAACTAGCTTGGATATAGATGTCTAAGAAAAGAGCTGCCTACTAGAGTAATCCCATCTAGGGAGTTCAATCCCACCTGTGCAGCCATATTTCTTGGGCGTTTTTTTTTGCCTGCATGAGCTGCGGCACAGAAATATCTTTGTTAGTTGTATTTTCCTGGGAATGGATTTTTTCCCCAGAGCGGAGAAAGATGTGGCTTCAGCCTATTTCTTCCCCTCAACCTCATATTCTTTGAAATCTGCTCTGACTTCCATTCTTAGCAGAAACTGATCTACCTCCCTGTCCAGTCCAATCCATGTAATATTGACTTAGTAGAACCTTAAGTGATGCCATTCGAAACCCTTTTTTGTTCCACCGAGTCTAACAGGAAGACTCAGCCCTTAGTGACAGGGAAACCCTTCTTATCACAGTACTCCAGACTCCTCACTTTTGTTAGATTGTTCACAGAAGAGTCCTGTTGGGCTGGGGTCCCAAAAGCCCTTCCTCTCCTGTGACTGATATGTCCCATTCTCACAGGAAAAGCAGATCCCATGGGGCACTAAAAGCCTTGTGGACAGTGATGGGGAACAGACGGCAGCCTGGCCAGGTGGGCAGTGGTAGCTTGAAGAACATGGTACTTCAGAATTGGTTTTGCCCAGCTCCACAACAACAAAAGAAAGCCTTTCCTTTTCCTTTGCTAGATCAAAGGCAATAGAAACCCTTACCTTCCAAATAAAATGCTCAACTGTGTTTCTGAGGCTCTCTGATGCGGTCCCAGCTCTGGTACAGACTCATGTGAGCTCAGTCATTTCCTCCCTGTTGCTTCAGTTCCTCCCCTGAGAAAGAAAAACCCTCTTTGTATCATGGAAGGTGATGGGTCACTCTGTTACTGTCAGTGTGACCGCAAATATTTCAGTGCTGGGGGAAGCAAATAAACATCTTGTACAGACAGATGGTGAGAACCTCCGAGAAGGAGCAGCTGTCTAGGAGCGGAGACCCTGGCTGCTAGCCAGTGCCAAGCACTTGTTTGCCAGGATATTTTGTTTCCCTGAGAGGTGGAAGACATATGAGGCATCTAGAAGAGGTGGCTGAGTCAAGGAAGAAAAAAGGTGTAATAGCAATAATTGTTATGGGTGACCTGAGACTGCTACTGATAACCCAACAGGAGTTGGGGAAGACAAATGATTTGCAGCATTTATATTTACTGCACATCCTGCAGAAACTGTCGCTGACCAAAAGGGATGTGTGGCACTTTGAGTTTGTTCTTCCTGTATCTGCTAAGGACAAGCTTGTAAGAAATAAAGCTGTAGTGGGTATCTTAACTTGCATTGTGCAACCCCCCAGTTGCCAAACACATCATCAGAGACTCACCAGTGCAGAAGTATCCAGCTGGGCAGAGCTGACAGTCTGTCGACTGCCATTTTCCACTCTCGGAGTTGAAGCTTCCAGGGCTGCATGGGATCGGGGATTCAGAGCCTTCGGGACAGTAGAAGCCAGGGGGGGCAATGCTTATGATCTGGTTGTGTGGATCCAAGATCACAGAAATATCCGGCGTAACATGTTCCTGCAAGAAAGAAAAGCTTCGGCATTATGCTTAGGCAACCAGAAAACATAAAGAAGTTTAAAGTAGGAGACAAAAAAGATGTTAGATGCACGTAATACGCACCAGAAACCATGGCCAGGCCTTCTCCTTGGCAGAACTTCCCCCCAGGGCAGGGCAGACAGGCATTACGGTAAACCATCCCAGACCGAGGTAAGAACGTGCCAGTGGGACATAGCTCTGGCTTGCTGCTGCCAGGTGGGCAGTGACGGCCTGCTGGGCAAAGGCTGCCTGTCTCATCATTGACAGGATTGGGTATACGGGCCTTCGAAGTGCAGTAATACCCAGGCAAACAAGGACCGCTTGGGGACGAGAGTCCTAAAGAAAAAGAACATAAATTCAAATAAGCCAGTGGCATTACAGAAATCACAGCTTCTGCACTAAACAAACCAGACAAGCCTTGTCATCACAATGATTTCGCCTGTGACTAGCTCTGTTAGTTAAAAGCTCCATCTACGCTCTCCGTATTTACTTACACTACTGATAAACCAGATAAAGGCCTAAACAGTTTTCTCCATCACCTTTACAGATGGGGCTGAGCAGCACCTCTCTTTCCACTACGAGACAACCACGAGAAGTCCTAGAATCCACGCGGCTTGGCTTTTGGTTTCATAACATTTGCTAGAACAAAAACGCCTTAATCTGCCTCTAATTAAAATGTTACAAAAGACAGCTTGTAAAATCTTTAAAGTAATCACAAAGAATCTCTACCCAAGGGGTGCCAGAGACCACTTCAAATGCTTCTTAGAAGTCACATGAACTCCAGACAGAAGCTGATGGAACTTTTTGGTTCTCCTAGATACAAAACATCCTAGATTTGTATTTAATCCACAGGTGATTCCTACCTGCACTGGCACAAAACGTGCTTCCAGGACAAGGCTTGCACTCCCTGGGATTTCCCACTCCAGTTTGGTTACTGTAGGTGCCCTCTGGGCACGGGTACTGATTGGCAGCTCTTGTTCCCGATGGGCAGTAATATCCTGCTGGACATTCTATTGGCTTGACCACACCTTGTGAGAAGTTCTCTTGGAGATCAGCTGGGTGGTCTTCTGGGGCACAGAACCTACCAAAAAAAAAACCAACCCCAAGTCTTGCCTCAGCCCATGCTCTCCTTCTCTTCTGCTAGAGATTAAGATGCACTTTCTGCATGACAGTGGCCGTCTAAGACTACACAATAAAAAGAAAGCTAATTACTTGAAAGGAAACAAATGGAGAGCTGAGAAGGTGAGATGCAACATTTCAGGGTCGTTTTGTCCATCCCAGCAGACTGACCTACCAGGATGGACTTTCTATGATACAGTGGTTGCAGTACAGAAAATGACATAATAAAGGGAAAGGTGATACAAAAACAGAAACATGAAAAACAGCCTTTTATAATAAAGGATACAAGAGACAGAGCAGCCTAAGGCAAAGGGAAATACAGATGCTAATTCCTAAGAAAAGCATCAAGAGGAAGGAGCAAAATCCCTTTCACTTACGTTCCTGCTGGGCAAGTTTCACAGTGGCTTTTACCAGCCTGGTCCTGATATTTTCCAGAGGGACACTGTATGGGCTCTGGGCTGCCAGTGGGGCAATAGCAACCCCCAGGACACAAACAGTCTAGGAGCAAAAAAAGAAATACACTTCTAACATCACTGGTCTGCTTATGTCCTGAACAGCTGCCATTAGAGGAAGCATCACTACAAATACGGAAGATTTAATGAGATAAAAGCCTTATAAAGAACAAAAAAAATCCCTGGTTTTGTTAAAAGCATTGCTTTATCAAAGATGAAAATATCACAAGGAATAAACTCCTCTTGGGATATTTTGCTTTGATAAGATCCCCTATTTTTCCTGCTATATTTACATACAATTACCCACTACTTAACCTGTGTTGCTTGGAATAATTTTTAGCAAACATTTTTTAATTTACATAGCTAGCCATTTCTGAACATAACTTGAAACTGTAAGTAACGGCAGACTTTAACATCATCTTGCCACTGCAACTCCTATAGGTAAAGAACAACCCCTGAATTCCTACCTGAATGCTGGCCTGACACAGAGCCCTCTGGGCAAAACCATCCTTCTTTACACAAGCCCGCCAGGGAGCTCTGACCTCGCTGAGAACAGAGCCTCCCTGGGACGCAGGCCTGGCAGTCCTGTGCTGACTGGCCACCACGATGAGCCAAAAAGGAGCCTGAAAATATAAAGCCACCAAAAAGCACATTCTCCCCTCATCCTAGACGCTGCTGGAAGTGGCTACGGAGAGAAGCACAAGCTGGTCACACAGTAGCTTTCCAGCTACACTAGCCCCAGCTACCTCTTGCAGAAGATGATAAAAGGATGTTGGTTAGGAAGGAATTCAAAGGGAGTGAAGTCCCCAGCACTCCCTTAGGACAGTAGATGACAGCCCTCCTTATAAGAGAGGTCTGAGGGACAGTGGTCCTGAGCGCTGGCTGAGGTGAATTCCCATTTATTTCTGGTCTGAGCAGTGCAATCACTTGCTTAATGTAACTACAGATTTTACCCAGGAAAGAAACACATATTCCACAATCTTTCTTATTCAGCTTAACACTTTGTCTCATTAACGGTGATGTTAAAGGACAGCTCTCACAGTGCAAGGAGGGTGGCAGAGGCTCTTATCTGTGCTTGGCTTTGTGAACTTTCATTCAGGAGGGCTCCACAAAGAGCTTCACACACACACACACACACCCCCAGCAGCACAGAGGCCACAGAGAGAGGCTCCAGAGGCAGTTTGGCAATGACTCTTTGAATGCACATTTAAGACTGACGTTTCCAACACAGCAGCCCTGGATTAGAGGCTGAGCTGTTGTGTCAATAGCAGTTGTCCCTTGGGGAACATAAAGGCATGGACTCAGCCATGGAGAAGCTCAGCAGCTCTCTGGGCTCTGGGAACAGAAACGATAGCATGCAGCAGCTGCCATCAAACCTACCTGGGGGACATGGAGATGGAGAAGAACTCCCTGCAGGACAAAAGTGGCCTCGAGGACAAATGTTCCCCACTGCTCCATCCATGGGGTTTGGGAGCGTGGAGCTCCCTGTGCAGTAGAAGCCAGCCTCGCAAGGACCTGACAGAGCTGCGAGCTCTGCAGTTGCACAGGACAAACCTGAAGCAGAGGGCAGAAGCAAGGACATCATTTAAAAGACGCCAGCACCAAACAGTCACAGCACAAGACCGGGACCACCCACTGATCTTAGCAAAAGGGAAAAGAGTACAAATGTATAAAAAACCCAGCCCAACCCAATAAACTTGTGCAGGAGGAAAGAGCCTTCTCCTACCTGGAGTGCAGGGCAGAGGAAGAAATGAACTAGCAGGACAAAAGGTCCTTGGCACAACCCAACAGACCCAGAAGCTGAAGCTGTTGTGCCTGCTAATGGAAAAGACACAGACTGAGCTGAAACATAAAAATTGCAAGCACTCTATCTTACCTAAAGAGTTCAGGAAGGGCAGACCCAGAGCACTGAATCAAGGAAAGTAAAAAGGGAAAGTCTGCCACCCTGAACCTGGCCAAGTCCCTTTGGGTGACGACTCTGTAATAACCACCTCCTCGATAATAATCACCATCACACTTTATCTTTATTGTTTCCCTTCGTACCAGTGTAATTTCCAGGAAACACTGGTTTGCTTGATGTGGATCCAGGCGGACAAAACCATCCAGGCATGCACAGTCCATCCAGTCTTGCTAAACCCGGCTTGGAAGAGACCCTTCCAGGAGAACACAGCTGGCACTTGGAAGCATCCCAGATATTTAAAGCTTCACTATAGGTTCCACAGGGACAACAATACTGTGTGGCAAACTGTGTATTCCTGGGGCAATAGTGACCTAGGAAAGAAAAGACAGGTTTTATGAAGGTTAGCAAATGCTGGTAATAGCGTGGGAAGAATCCTGAACCTGCAGATACAGCGTTCTCTTCGTCTTTTTCTGAGAAGGACTGATCCCGAGCTACGATGATGGGTCCATCTTGCAATTTAGCACTACTCTCTAATAGCTACGTCACACTGGCTGCATAAAACAAAGCTGATCAGGGCTGAGGATTAGCAATAGCTTTAATAGCATGCAGTTTTTTAATGAGAAGATCTCAAAGTGTGTGATAAAGGTCTACTGTCAAAACTGCTTGCTCGATTTACCATTTTCCACAATCAGATGGGAACTGAATCCCAAACTGCTTTGACCAAGGTGACTGATGTGTCCACTGGAAGAGGTTCATGCCTCGTGCAACCCAGTCCAATGATAAATCTACTCCAAAAAGCCGCAAAGGTATCTGCTCATCTCTTAAACACAATTTCCCAGAACGAGTGGGTAGGTGCCATCAGACCCACCTGCAGGGCAATCCGTGTAGTTTGTGGAAGCCACTGTGCAGTAAAAGCCCTCTGGGCACTCCAGACACTGTGCCATGCTCCAAGATGGGCTGTAACTCCCTGCAGGGCACGGCCGGGCTCTGGTGCTCCCCACAACACAGTAGTGTCCAGGTGGACACGGTCCTCCACTGACTGTTGTCTTTGAAGAAGAACACCACAGTTACAGTCTATAAACTCACGAGGGTGGCATTGCAAAAAGATCTATGTCAGATTCTAGTGGAGAAGAGAACTGACATTAGACTGAGGGATTCTGTGCTCATCCCTCAGTCCTTAAGGCTGCACACCTATCCCTTTTCCAAAATAAGGGATCAGAATTCTGCCCTTAACAAATCTCGCTGGGCCAGCCATTTGGAAGCCAACACCACCCTTTCTTCATCCGTAGCCCGCAGAGAGTTGTGGCATAAACCCTGTGTCTTATCAAGTCATCATCTTTAAAAATTCTTATTGCATTTTGCCTAGGAGGAGGGCTGGCAGATGCAGTATTCTAATCAAACCCATGCACTCCCTAAAAGCTGTAATTTTAATCTGATAAGGCATTCCACTCTGCTCTGTGGCATCAATATGCAAAGATAAAACTATTTTTGGTCAGCTTTTAGATGTAACAGCTGAAAAAAGGCCAGGTGTATTTTGCTCTCTCCGCCCCTTTCACTCTCCAGATGGACTGACCAAGAAGATCATGTGGTAAGGAAGAGTTTAATCTGAGGCAATAAGGTGACCTTATGGTCTTCAGTTCCACGGATATGACATTTTACACTATTTACATCACCAGCACAGCTTACCCTGGGAGGTTTAGAAGAAATGGCTCCTCCACTACAGTAGAATTCAGCCTCACATAATCCAGTTGGAGACACAAGTCCAGTCCCATTGCAGTAGTACCCTGAAGAGGGACAACAAAAAGGACCATAATGATACTGGCCACACAAGACAGACAATACTAAGTACATAACAAGAAAATAATCACTGAAGCATCATGTCTGATGTCGCCCACACCTGTTCTTCTGGAGATGCTTTCACTGGGCAAGTACAGAGCACACACAACTAAGCAAACAGCACTCTTTGGATCATCTCTAAGTAAAAAAGCATCTAGTGGAACAGCACAGAAGCTTGTGCCTCACCGTGAGTATCCTCTTATGTGGAAAAGCGGCAGATTCAGTCTTTTTATGCTGCGCTTAACATCTCTCTCCAAGAAAGCAGTTGATGATTGCCTACCACAAAGTTTCTCAGAAGCCCTAGAAATGCTGGTGACTGGCTAGAATCTCGTTAGCCCTTCCTTTCATACTGTACCTGCATCACACAGGAGACAGTCCTCAATCCCAGTATTCCCAGTTGAGTTGCTATAATAACCAGGAGGACACGGCTGTGGAAAGGCAGAGCCCAGAGGACAGTAATTTCCCTTGGGGCATGCATTCCCCAGAAGACCATCTGTAGGTGTGGGACTAGAAACACCTCTGCTGCAGTAGAACCCAGACAAACAGGGTCCTGTAACGCGTGGGTGCCCTGCAAGCACACAGTAATGCCCTGAGGCATTACTAATGCCATGACATTAGTACCAGCAGAAAAAAGCAGAAACATACTTCAGAGAACAGGCTATGTCCTTACACAGTTCATCCGCTGAAGGTCAGGAATGTTCAAGACACATTTTCATACATTCTCCTGTCCTCAGCCTGAGAGATGCTTATTTGCTGGTTACCTGGGTCACAGGGGGTGCAGCGAGACATCAGGCTGCTTCCAGGCTGTGGGTTGTAAGTCCCCTGAGGACACGGGAACTGAGTTGCAGAAGCAGTACCGGGAGGGCAGTAGTGGCCGGCTGAACATTCGTTCTCCAAAAAGGAAGAGGAATTTTTGGGGCAGAAGCAGCTGGTCCAAAGAGAGATTAAAAAAAAAAAAAAAAAGGATGGGGAAAAAAAAAAGACATTAAAAAAACACATTTTCTAGCAATATACTATCCACGAGTACCTGAATAATGACTTAATGGTGAGACTAAATGGTCTAATGTGGCTGCTGCACTGTGCTGACCACAAAAGAGACCTATTTATGCATATTACTACATTATTAGTTGTTTCCTCGTATGCCAAATTGATGGCATAATTGTAAAAGCCACAGAGACATAATTTTCTTAACTTGAGTCATAACACATCCAGGCTGTGATTCATCAACTTGTACAAGTTAAACAAGGTCAAATCCAAACAGTCAGTAATTGGAGATGAATCCCCCAAGGAAAAACCAGATTCGGCATCAGGTGATACACAAGATTCTCTTCCCTTTCAACAGGCCTCTGCCAGCCTGTTGCCAAGGGAACCATCTATTATTTCAGACGTGAAAAAAGTCTATGGTGCCAATGGTTTCCTTGCTCTGAACAGCCTTCCCTTCCAGTGTAGCTGTACCTGGGTTTAGGACTTTGCCTGGTCCCATAATCAATTATACAGTGTTGCTTAACAGAGCTCAATAGTTGCTCTGCTTCCTTCTCAAAGTGCTTTTCAGTAGTAAATGAAGTCATTTTCCCACCACACACTGCTCCGTGATCACTGGATAAAAAATTTCCAATAGTTATATTATAATATTAGTATATTTCCAATAGTTACATTATAATACTAGTATACACACAACACTAAGCTCACTGTCTGACTCTTACCCTTCAGGACAGGGGAGGCAGCTGGCTTGCCTTTGTGAAGGGTTATAGGACCCGGCCAGACAAGCAATCGGAAGAGCTGTGCCCTCGGGACAGAAATACCCTGGAAAAGAAAGGAAAGATCAGAATCTGCTCTAGAAAATCAAAGACAAACTAGACATCTAAGTGGGAACCATAACTCACCCTGGGGACACAGCTGTGGCTTCTCACCAGAGACACAGAATTCACCCACTGGGCAAGGATAGCACTGCTCTCCGTGGGTGTGCGGCATGTGGGAGCCAGGGGGGCACGGGGCTGGACTCCCGGATCCAAGAGGACAAAAGTGACTGACTGGACACGGAGCTCCTGAGAGGCCATCAGTGGGTGTTGGGGTCTGGGCTTTAGTGACACAGTAGTACCTGCAGCCACAAACACAGGAAAATACTCTTTATTCCAAGAGGGTAAAGAAGACCCCTTGTAGGACACCTCTCCTTACACAGAGTACATAAGTGTGATGTTCTCCTACTTACCCTGGGCTGCAGTGTCCTGAGGGTGCCCTCTGCCCAGAGCTGTTGCAGTAATACCCCCCAGGACACGGCTGGCATTCCTGCACACTCCTTCTACCTTCACTGCCAGACCACGTGCCAGGAGGGCACTGCAACAGAAGCAGAGCACCTGGCAAAATAATTGCACCAGAGTAAGGAAATGCCATCTCATGCTCTCTATGAATTAAAAAAAATTAAGCTTTAGCAAAGCATCCAACCTTCAGGACAATAATGACCAGGAGGACAAGGAAGTCCTGATTCTCCCATCTTGGGGGTTTCTTACTCGGGCACCAGAATCCCTCAGCACAGTCTCCTAGAAAACAAAGTAACGTATACAAAATACATGAATATGTTAAAATAATAGGCACATAAATGCAAACTTCAGAATACAGATTGAAATAGAGTCACGGAAAATCCCCCACTGGATTTTTTGACAAGGTATCACAGACAGAATTCTCATTTCTGCTGTCCCTCTCTCAGTTCTTTCTTAGAAAAAGAAGAATCTTTTTGTTTTATGGGAAGTTCTTGATGAGTAAAATGGGACAGCTCACCTTAGCTGAGATGAGAACCCTGGAGTCCAAACTCCAATCCCCAGCACTATGGCCACCAGCCATAGACGTGACTGTAGCACCAGCAAATATGCTCAGAACCAGTCTGAGTACAAGCTCTCCCTGCTGGGCAGGCTCGGCAATCGGCGGCTTCATCCGGTCCTTGGAGAGGATTGTATGTACCTGGCTGGCACGGCACCGGGCAACTTGCTCCAGCAGGACAAAAATACCCAGCAGGTATTTCTTCCAACACAATCCAATTCCTAAAGAGAGAGAAGGCATTTAAGTTCCCAAAGAGAGCATGACCTACTGGCAAAACAGAGGGTCCTACAAAATATGATTCCTTTGCTTTCACCCACACCAAGGAAGTATGATGGAGGTTCCTTCGTAACAGCAATGAAGCTACTGCAAAGCCAGAAGGTGGTGGTATTGGATTAGCCGAATATTACTGCGGTCGAGTGGCTGGTGGAAGCAGTAAAACCATCTGGACTGTGTTCTGAGAAATTAGATACATTTTAAATAAACAAAAACATCAGCCTTAAAACACTCTGATGCAGGTAATTTTAATAAGCACAACGCTTAGGCTTCAGCTGTAAGAGAGCCCAGGGTTTCCACGAAAGCTGAGTGCTTTCCATGTTTGCATTCTGAAAGCATAGAGAGATAAACTAGTTTTGCAGACCGGTGATATATTCAGTACAAACACACGGATAGCTGCTTGAATGACAACCAATTTGAGCTATGATCTCTAAAATCCCCTGTGTTAAACAAAAGCTGCTTGCATTGTACCATAAAGGATCACTAGTAAGATCAATACATAATAAAACAATGATCCCTTACTGGTGCTACCATGTTCAGAAAGTGCATTTCATTATAAAATGTCCCCAAATGTTTAACTTGGCAAGAAGGAAACACAAATTTAGTACAAGAGTAGTTGCTATCCTCCTGAGTCATGCCTTTCAACAGCACAAAGCAAAAAGAGCAATTCAGGGGGAAAAGGAAAACACGGGCTGCTGCTGATAGCTCCCTGGAGTACTTCAGGTCGAAACCCTGCTGCCTTCCAGGTGCTTGTCAAGGAAAGGCTCAAGCATACACAAGTACGTAGGTGCCTCTGCAGGCTGGAACAGAGCCTTACAGCACCCCCAAAATGACCAGGATTTATTAAAATCTAGGCCACCCCCTCCACAGACTGAAGAGTAGGTCCAGATTAGGATTCCGCAGGGTGCCAAACAAGTTCAAGGGCCATCTCTCCCTCTGCTTTCCACCCACTTGCTCATTCCCACCCCTCAGGAAAATAAAAACAACTCGTCATTTCCCCCCTTACATTTACTCCACTTGGCACGGATGAACACAAGCTTCAAAAACCTCGATACGACAAGATCTTAATTTCTCAAAACTATAAAATCCCACAGCTCTGACCACAGCAACTGAATCAACACACCTGAGGGAGGGTTGCAACCTCACAGTGCTGTGGGACCCTTTAAAAATTGCCTTAAGCTGACAAAAGCTTCATGCTGCAGATCTGCACCCCCAGCAAACCCAGCGGGAATGCCATTTGATATAACCCCAATCCACGCCACTTGGCTATAGGGACATAAAATTTCCATTTCCTGCCTGACTTTCTGGAGACAATGCCTCCCTTTGGAGTTCAGATCAGACTTAATAGCGTGGCTGCCTGGATATTTTACACGAGATCAATCACGACACGGATTTACAGCGTATTATTTATTCTGCAGTATTTGCTGTGCAATAAATGTGCTGCAGACAAACTGGGCATCACTGAGGTGTATCACACTTAACACCTTGTAGTGCAGATGGTGGGCATATTTTAATATCACACGAGCCATCACCTACCTCATGGTAGCATACTTGAACTATTCTATGGCTTGTCAGAGTTTATTCCTGTATCCCCCGTCTATTTTGCAGCAGGCGTTGTCCTACCTTTGCCAAGTGTTCCTTAGGAGAGCTGACAACATCATTATATAAAGTAGTACAGGCACAGCGTTAACAGCTCACATTATTAAACCAAGAGTTTTAAAAATCTAATTTACTTTGCAGCTTCTACAGTGTGTGTTCAGGTGCCACTGGCCCTGTCTCTTGAATTTTGCTGCCTTGACGAGATGTGAGGTTTGTTCCTTGCTGCACCATGGAAATGCATTTCTGGTTTTAATTTCAGTAGTGGGCGGAAAGCAGCAATTTCCTAGACTTAGTTGGTGAGTAAAAAAATCATTCAACAGTCAAGACGCTTTGGCAGCTGAGTTGTTTGCTAGAAAAGAAATGCTCAAACAGGAAAATATATGACTTGATTTGAAGGAGTATGACTCGATTTGAAGGAGATGATTATTTTCTTAGTGCAGGTACCGGTCTGAGGGGAAGGGCCCCGTAAATGTAAAGGGAGACGAGGAACTGAGCAACCCAGAGCGGTTTCTGCTTCTCGCAGTGCACCTGGTGATTGGTGACACCGGATAAAACATTCTGGACTTGGGCCCAAGTTTACTTTAGTGAATTGAGCTCGTTCCCTGAATGTCCCTCTGACTCTATGTTCCCATTTGTACAGCAGTGTTATAGAGAAAGAGGCAGTTTTTATACCATTGTGTGATACACTGAGCTGCTCTGCAACGTTCAAAACCAGGCAGAGCTCACCTCAGCAACATGTGATTGCAGTAGCAAAAAGCCAGTCTCCCTTCCCATGAGCAAAGACTTAGTAGCAGAGAAGATTTTAGCAAAGCTCTATTATTCCATCCTTTTACATTGCAAAATCTAGTTACTTTCAACAGCTTTCCCAATCACAAAGTTCTACTGATTTAGAAAAGCAAACTAAAACAAAAATATTTAGAAGGAAACATCACAGAAATAGACCTGGAAATCTGTGGAAGCCTTGTGCCTACCTCTTTGCATGCATTTCAGAACACTACACGCTGCTTCGTCTACTTGGCACTTTAAAAGCTCTTAAGAGCAGGGATTCTACAGCTTCTGAAGGCATAAATTCCAGTGCTTTTTTACTGTTACAATAAAAAAAGTTTTGCCTAATGTGTAAACTAATTTCCCCTTGCTGTACGTTTCAAAGGCTGAGGACTACTGTGATTGATTCAAACACACACAAATGAAAAACCCCTTTCCCAAAGGGAAAGCGTATGGTCAACTTTAATTATGTTACTCCTCTGTTCCACTCATAAAAGAGCTGGAAGATGATTCTACGCTACAGCATAACACATCTCAGAGTGGACTAATAGTGCTAAAAACAGTGTCTCGCATACAAAGCTGATGCAGTTGAATAGGCTTTAACAGCAGCCACTTGCTGACTCAGGCTTCACAGCTGACCTGCTGGATGACATTTAGCACATCATTTCAGATTGCTCCTCGATTTTCTTCCTTGTTCTGAAAGTACAATCACCTTTTCCTTCCATTGCAACTTCTCCGAAACCTCTGCACAGGGCAGGTATCTAAATAGCAGGGTCCACATTCACGAAGGCAGTTCCAATGAAATAAGTCGATAGCGAGCATTTCTGGATGTAACACCTTTGTAATTCCTGAATACTTCACCACAAATCTGGTGACTCGTAGGAGATTCCATGTGTGTTCCATTCAACCAGATTCAAATACTGGATGAAAGGAACACCCAGATTTCATCCAGATTTAAATACCGTATTTATTTACAGTAGATAAGTACTGTAACTGCCAGCCCCTTCTTCATAAGGATGTATTTAACAGTGTGTTTTACAGTGAGAATTATTACCCCCACTGTTGAAAATGCAGATCTTTTCCGATACAGACCTCGCAAGCATGAGGAGCTTCTGCTGGGTGTGTGAAGTCCCTCCTTGGGCTTGAAACTCCCTGCTGGGCACGGAGGGACCGCAAGGCCATCAGAACAGAAGTGACCTATAGAGAAAAGAAAACACGTGGTTCAGAAATGCAAGTGTTAAGCAATACACCGTTTCCTAGAGCGTATTTAAGCTCAAAGCTGTCAGCAGCTAAACTGCCCCTCACTGGGGCAAGGGCTACGTGGAGGACGCAGGGGAACCTGCTCCCGAAAAGACATTTTAAGATGTTTAAAGCATTTGAACTTTCAAAAGGTCACCGCATTCGAGGGACAAAAGATTTTCCTGTGTTTACACTGAGAAAAGACAAGGCTCAAGAAGCACAGGGCAGAAATCTAGGAGCATCACCTTCTACTAAAGCTAAATAACAAAAAATAAAAAGTTTTGAAACTCAGTAACATTTTCAAACTTCATTCAAGTTTACGCATCATTTTAAGCATTTATGGCAAGTTGTTACAAGAAAAAAAAAAAAGAAGGGGGTTATGGAGTTTTCTTTTTTGGTTTGCTTAATTTGGAATGAACATTTTTCTTGAGATCTAGAATTTCCACAGCATTTCAGTCAGCTCTTGTTTGTTGAAAGGTGCCATTTAAATGATCGACTGTTTTTATATCCAAGAACATGTTCATTTCAGGAATACAAACAAAGCTGCTGTGGAGACTATAATAAATTGCTTGGTTCTGCAATATAAGCAGAGACGCATGGATGCAATCAAGGGAAGAAAAGAGCAGGTCACTTATTTAAAAGCAGCACATTACAGATAGCCCAACTTTTTTGTGTTTTGGAAATTTTGACAACATTTGAAAAATAAATTCTCATTAATTTCCCATCTAAAAAGATTTCTTCCTATTGTAAAACTGCGCTGGAAAAGATAATGCAAGTGTTTAATACATCATGACATTTTTTAGTTCAAAACATACAATGACATTTTAAGCTAAATATCCAAATTAATTTTATTAGTTAGTATCATTAGAGTTAATTGTTCTTTCTTTCTACTCCATTTCTTCTGCTCTCTCCAAGATCGCGGGGATTAAAGACCAGCTGAAGTGTTCCTGCTTTAAGGACTACATTCCTTTCCCCAGTTTAATCCAGCATCTTTCACTTAAAATCCTTCTGCCAGTTGTACCATTTAGCAATGAAATTCTCACATCCAGCCAGAATTAATTTCTCTTTCCAAGTAAGATTTTGTAAAACTTGATTATCAAATGCTTTACTAAACTCCAGATGGATATTTGAAGAGTGAAAAAAAAAAAAAAAAAAAGAAGAAAAAAGGATTTTAATGTGGCATGAAAGCGCCACTGCTCTGCTGAAATATATGGCTATGTATCAGCATGGCAATGACACTTCGTTCACATTGCACGCAATACTAAGTACAAAGATTATATATAATTAAAGCCAGTCAGATCATGGAAAAGAACACTGGGAATCCTCAGGCCCCTCTCCTGCTTGTGATGGTATTCAAACTCCTTACAATCTAAGGGCTTTGCAATTGGGCTGGATAACTTACTCAGATTTAAGAACAGAAGAGGGACTCATTTTAACGCAGCATTTCAGCATGGGACGCTCTGCATATATTTAACCTGTGGTAAGTAGAATTTATAAATACTTCCTTAACTCCAAAGAAGCCAACATTTCCTGATTTTTTTTTAATGGAGCCACAATTACTTTCCTGGCCTTCTACAGAGCACAGTAAATACTAAATGTAGTAAGATACACACCAACAAACCCACCATCGCTTCCCGTGTATGACTGACCCCGCAAGAAATATATTATTTGCTATTCATTCCAGACACTGGAAACACGAGAAATCCTCTGTTCTATTCTCTCACGGATGTATTATAACTGCATCTAAGCTGCTGAGATCTTGGTCTAGCACAGCCTCTTTAGCTGCTCCGTTTCTTCTTCTACTGGACAATGGGTAAGACACCCAGAGTACAGGAACTCTTTATTATTTTATTAGAGAGATTCTAATTACCGACATAAGAATCAAGTTACTGAGTTTAGTGACTCTGCAGGAGGCACCTGGAGTTGGTCATTAAATAGTTCATCTTTACATCCAGTATAGGGCTCACAGGAGAGAAAAGTGTGGTAGGGTTGCAAATCTCCAACCGCATCCCCGTAGTGACACTACACATCCTTTTCCAAATCCACAGAAATGCCATGCTCTCCCTTATCAGGCCTTTTGCTAGGGATCACCTGGGTTAAGAAATGTGAATTAAAGTCCAAGGGTACCTGGAGGGAATTATCAGTGATACTGCTGCTACTTGCAGCACCAAACTTTTCCTATTTCCACTGAGAATGGAACAGGATTTATGGGGAGGGCCTTGGAGGGATACCGAAGCACCACACTTTATCACAGGAAACAAGCACAGCAGAAAGCTAACCCTGGGCTACCAAATCCTCACTAGGCTTATACTCATTCTCTGGGATGTGTAGGAGACACGCCAGGATTTTAATGCTGCAGAAAACTCTTTCTTTATGGGGAAATTATGCCAAGCGGCCATTCAGTACCGGAATGGCTTAACTTGCACTCTCACTGAAGAGATTTCCTGAACATGGGCTTATTGGGATTTCTTAGAGAGTATCAAGCAGGAAGAGAAATTAGGTAAGAAAACCACAGTGGGCCCTTATTAAATTCTACAGTTGCCACCTGGGAATACAACACCTGCTATATATGGGCATTTGTGATGGCCAGTGAATCAAGGCGCTGAAATGGAGGAAGCTGTAACTGTGTATGAATCAGTTTTACAGATGGTCAGTAAAAGTCACGGAGAGAACTGCTTTCTGTGTGGAAAGAGAAAGCAAAAGCTTCCCTCGTGGCTCAGCAGCACTTGCGCACCCAGATATACTCGTTTATGTCCCAAGGCTACATCAGCTGGACCTTCCCCATAAACCAAGCCGTTGTGATTCCCCCTGTTCTCTCACTTTCGTTCTCTGCTTTTCACCAACTCTTCCGAACAGCATCTGCTTTATCTCAGGAATTATATTTTAACCTCCAGTTCCACGGTGACACGGACACCCTATCCCTGTTCTGATACTGCCAGCTCAGTGCTACCAGAGCAAAGCGTCATTTTAGTCTCCTGAAGTTCTATGTTTTAATGACTCCAGAAGATGCCCGTGAGACACACTTACCTGCTGGGCAGGGCTGGCAGAGCAGAGCATCTTCAGCTGAGACAGAACCAGGAGAGCAGCTTATACAGTGAGTGTGGCTCGGATTTGGCTGCTGACCGGCCAAACAATGCTAAGGGGAAGAAATACAAATTCGTGCTACCAGAAGGTCTGATGGCCATCGCTGCCCAAAGCTGCGTCCCAGCCAAGCCTGAGTCAGGAAAAAGCCCAGCACTGCATTCTATCTTGTGCCTGCTCCTTCTCTGCTCTCTCCTCCCTTCCCAACACTGCTTCAGCTCTAATCTCCAGGGACAATTTTTAGAAGAAAAAGTGCTCCGAGCTTCTCCGGGTCCTCAGCTAAAGGGTTTAGTGGTGGCTGGTGACTGGAAGCACTAAAAATCTCAGAATTTAAATAAGAAGTATTTATTTCTCTTAATACAGTCTACTCGTGGAAGGTCTTAGATCTACTATACCACATGCTCATTCCGTACCTGTCTGCTCTGTCCGTCTGGGCAGATGTATCCCTCTGGACATGCCCGACACTCCAACTCTCCCTCTGGTGAGTTGGACTACCCAGGACTGCAGCTCCTCTGCACACCACTACGTGGATCACAGGAATAACCATCCGGACACGCACGGCACCCACCTCCGCTCTCAAGGCTGAGACAGCCATTGGGACAAACCTGCAGTGAGATCACAAAGACCTTCAGATCCACAAAAACATATTCTTTGCATGAATAACGTAAACCAGCAGTTTCAGACACCCTCAGGCAGAAGTGCCAGAAAGAAAGGATCTTGGATCGCTGTCAAAATCTGGCCTATGTGCTCTTGAGAGCTCCCAACATGTGCTTTTTAGTGTCAGTGGTATAAACAATGAATGGAGGGAGAGCTGCTCGCTGTCTATCTGGAAGGACAACCTGCTTTCTCTAAGCCAAACACAGTGCAAGCATCTCCTGAAAAATTTCTAAGCAGACCTCAAAATCTGGGAAGAAGCCTGAAATCAGATGATTCAAAATACATGGGAGTCGAGGCAAAGAGTACTACTTCACTCCCTTGCTCTCTTCCCCTGCCCTTCAGCTTACCCGGCAGGCTGTGATCTCTGCTTGAGCAGTAAGTTCATTGGCTGTTCCCAGCGGGCATTTCCTCGGAGCTGCTTGACCCCCAGGGCAACTGGATCAAAAATAATAAAGTTATAAAAAATGAATTCTTCTTTAGAATTCCATTCCCTATCAGCTAGTACAGGTGGTGTGCAGATACAGGAACATGCCTCTCACCAACTACACATACAAATGCCCTTTTAGCCACAGATGCACGGATCTATAAAGGATTGGGATCTCTGCAGGGATCTATAAGGAAGGAGACTTACTAGAAACCTGTCGGACATTCCAAGCAGTTGCCAGCTACGTAGTAATGTCCCTGCCCGCAGTCTATGAGACAGTGGGTCTGGCAGTCTGTGCTGCAATCCGGTGAGAGGGAAAAGGTCCCTAAAAGAAAGTGAAAGACTTAAATTTTAAGGTACAATGAGCAAACATTCAATGCTCCAAGCTAAATGACCAGTTGCAATTATACCATAACGGAGTACCAGCACAATTTTGTCACTGATGTTAACAGCATTAGTACTACTAATATAACAATTTCACTATTAAGAACAATGCTTTGCTTTAATAGAGAAGTGGTGTTTACAAATGGAACACAACATCCCACCAGTGTAGTGACTAAAAAAGAAACAGGAAATATTCTAAGCCTGTCTTGTTAAGAAGGAATCTGAATCAGAAAGTCTCACGTTCCAGTTACCCTTAGATGAATTAGCTGGCTTCTCAAAGCCACACAAAGCTGGAAAGAAACCCACCTTCTTGGGTTTTCCATTCATCGACGCTACTTCCCTGTCCATTATCATATTCATTCTGAAGTTTTGGTGGCTAAAATTAAGGAAAGGTTTCTCTTCCAGAATTAAAACCCGTTCCCTTCAGATTCCTAGATAAATACTCTGAACACAAAATTCTGGGGCAAATTTCAATTTCCAATGTTTTATCGAACTAACCCAAACTACCCTGTGTAGGTAACAGAGAGCCTTTTCCATGTCTTAAGCATCTTTTGAAAGAAAGAAACCCTAAGTTTTTCAAGAAAGCGCAAACAGCACAGTCTGATGGAAAGACCCGAGGGATGAAGCGGGTCCTCTACCACTGTGTAACCTCCACCAAGACACTTCATCTTTCTCCACTTCAGTTATACAGTCTACGCAATAAAGGCAATTTTACCCATCCCTCTTCAGGAAATCTCTTGACATCACATTCTATAAGAGAAAGGTGATAAATATTCAACAGAGTAAGACACTTGAAGAATAAAAATAACACTGGTTACTATTTCCCTTTTTGTATTTCTTACTTTCATTTAGCAAGCCTATCAGATTTACGTTCTCGTACACCACTGGCCTAACGAATTCCTTTGTTTTGGAAAGTGAGCTTCACTATGGTAACCGCAAGCATTTCACATGGACTTCCTCAGGAAGGGCTTCTCCGGGCATAAAAAAGGAGTGTGCAGGGTCAGGAGAGGAGTTCCAGGCTTGTTTTTCATCTATTCCATACCCAAATAAGCACCGTGGTCTTATTACTATTGTTACTCAAAAACATTGATGTGTTTTTTTAATCTCTTTAGAAAATTGAAACCTCTTGGTGAATGCATCTCCCCACCTTCTCCGTCTTCTCCCCTGAATGAATCCCTAAAAAAAATTGTGCTTTTGAAAGAACGGCAGGCACACTCATCACTTTATGACCTGTTATGAGCTAAACAAGTGCTGCCTCTAATGCCCTATAGCTTTCACAAGGTAACA